AAAATTGATCGATCTTTTGGACAAAGTAAAGTCCATCGATGGTTTTAAGAGCTCCATCAATTCGAAATGGAAAGGGGACCAATCTTTTTTTTTTTCAATTTATACAGAGTTAAAATTATATAGAACAAATTTATTCAAATTTCGATCAAATTTTATTTTTTTTTTTTCGATTTATTGCAATTTTTTATTTTTTATTTTATAGTTTAAAGAAGAATATCTCTGTGTTAGCTATATTGCTCAAGGTGTATTGCTGCAATATGGCTTAGTAATCAGAGAAGTAGCTCTGAGGCAGCTGCGTCCATATGTAGATTCGATAGAGAGAATGATCTGAGGAAAGCCTTATGAGTCCTACATCTTAGTATTCAGATACTTGGTCTAATAGTTACATCTTCCGCTTTATGAAGATTGTTTCAACAATATATGTATATGGCACCTATGTACATATATAGCTACTTCATCAGGCAGATTGATCAGTGATCTACAGAAGCCAAGGAGATTGAGCTCTGTTAAGCATCATAAACCTTTTATGAGGAAAAATCTATCTGCATAGATTTTAATTTGTCCATGACAGTTATGTGAAGAAAAAGATCTGGAATAAGCTTTCGTAATACTATAGCTGATTTATCAGACCATTTGGTCTATTTACAGCAATTCCTATCATGCCAATTCAAAGTCGAAGTCTGTATGTATTGAGGTGTATCGCACTTTTATATCGCACAAGGCAGGCAGATTGATCTGTGGCATGCCTCTTGAGCCTTTGGCAGCTATATGACCAGCTACTTTGAGAGTTTGAGTTTGAGTGTGATAGCGAGTGTTTCGAAGCAGAATCTGAAGACAGCGCTGTCAAATTTCACTTTATTCACGTGAATCACTCAGAGTCGTTGAGCCGCAAATAGTTGAAATAAATTTATTTTTAATTGGCAACGAAATTGGTAAACAAGATTCAAGAAACTGTTTTGAACAGTATTCGTCTCTCTCATTACCTTTACAATTGTGTGTAAGTGTGTGTGTGTGTGTGTTTTTTACATCTTTTGCGGAATTTAAAGAGCTGCGCATAACGTTACAGTTTGGGAGCGACTGCAGTCGGCTGGCTAATTGACATGCTGTGCAGCGCGTCTGCAGTGTTTCCTGACCCAACGTGTGGCTCTACGATGATTGTGTTTATTTATAGCCAGCTGTTGGCCACACGTTGCGCTATTGCCAAAAAAA